CCCTGTACCTCACACACACACACACACACACACACACAAACACACAAACACACACACACACACACACAGAGCCCTAGAGGCAAAAGAGAAAAAAGATGAGGGGGTTCAGAGGGGAGAAAGCGAACGATAAACATTTTTTTAAATTTCAGGTCTGTTGATCCGTGGTGACTTGCGGAGGTTTATCATAGAGTGCAGGCTGGCAAACACACACACATACGCACAACACAGAACAAATGTAATAACTCCATCGTGTTCATTCGCTCCGTTTGAGGAAATGTTGAAACATGAATATGCAGGGGTGCAGTATTTTTAGCTGAGCCAGTTCATCTGGGTGTGAATGAAACTAGCAAGGGGAGAAGAAGGTACATTTAAGGTGAGTGTTTTGTGTGTGTGCGTGTGTGTGTCTGTCATATTTCTGTAAGCTACAGTGGGCAGCAGGGTTGGCGGCTCCTGTCTCTCCCTGTGGACTGAAAGGAGAATGCTGGCTATCTGCTTTGTTATCCAAATGCCAAACGTTTCTCCTGCCAAACAGCTCCCTCCTGTCACTGTGTTATACAGAGCTGCTCTCTCTCTCTCCTCTTCCTCCTCTCTGGTTTATCACTGTCCTCTCCAGTTTCTGTCTCCTTGCTTCTCTTTAACCCCCCCTCCCATTTCTCTCTCCTTGTCTCTCTGTTTATTGTTGTCCTTTCTTCCTCTGTGTGCTTACTCATTTTTATCTTACTTTCCTGATCTATCTGTACCTCTACCCTCACTTTTTTCTCTGTCCTTGTCTTCTGGTTTATCCCTCTCCTCTCTATCTTCCCTTCCATATTTTTTTAATCCTTTTTTCTTTTTTTCCTCTGATGATCACATTCTCTCCGACCCTTTGGCTGATCAAATAACCATTATTGGCATGGATATTGATGTTATTATTATTGCTAAAGCCTAATCACATATTACTGAATACAATACAATATAAATAAAAACAACAGATAAATAAACAATTAGACAAATGTATAAATACACAGTAGAACAGTGAGTGTTTTCTGTGTTTGGTTATGGTCCTGCTGATACATATGATACTGGCTTTGTGTAAGAATGTCCAAGCTTGCTGTGTACAGTGGGAACACATACTTATTCTTCTCTTGGTAGCCAAGTTTGTCCTGGTGGTCAGGTTGTGTTCACATCATGAGGGTTTTCCTGTCGGCTTCTATCGCCTGAGCGTCATAGAGCCAAATAACAGTTGAGGTTGGATTGTTATTGTTGTTATTTCTCTCCCAAAGTTCAGGTGAACTTTCTCTTTTGGCTATCTACAAGTTACCTCAGCATTTTGACGCTTAATTATTCAGCTGATTGACTGAAAAAGAACAGCTGCAACTATTTTGATAATCAGTCGATCAATCAATCAATCGTCATTGTTCAAGGAAAAGTGCCAAATCTTTTTTTTCTTTAGTATTAGTTTCTGCCTCATGTGATAAACAGAAAAATCTTTTGTGAGCGTGGGAGTGTTTGTTACACAAAAAATAAGCAATCTGATGATATCTGTTGGGCTTTTGATGAATCAGTTAATCAAAAAGAAATAATGTGCAAAAGCCCAATAATGAAAATAATCATATAGTCTTACTGAATATTAAAAGACATACTGGCTGTAGATTGACAGAAAACAAAACAATGCAGGG